ATGAAAGTAATGAACAGAATCGGTAACAAAGGACAGCCTTGGCGGAATCCAACTCTCACCGGAAATGAGCCCGACTTACTGCCGGCAATGCGGACCAGACTCTGACACCGGTCGTACAAGGACCTGACAGCCCGTATCAAGTGGCCCGGTACCCCATACTCCCGGAGAACCCCCCACAGGGCCCCCCTTGGGACGCGATATTTCAGTGCATCGATATTTTCTTACACCCCTATTTGTTTAAATAATACTTTCAAATATTTTCCTTGACAGTTACTTGAATTTCTGCTTACAGAAGATAAATAACATATTTACAAGTAGATCCAAGCAGTTAGAAATAACAGGGGTTAACTCGTTGTTAGCGTTAGCATTGTTATCAGACTAATTAGTCACTCCTCACCCGGGCAGAAACAAGTCGACAGACATTTAAACTTGTTTGATTCTAAGTGTTTGACCCAACTTGAAACTAAATAATTGTAGCTTCAAGGCTTTTGAAAGCTTTCATCTGGCTCGTCAAGGTCTGCATCACCAGAAAGTTTGTCAATCATCTCAGCACTGATAAATCCTCCAGATTATATGACAAGTCTTTTTATTAAGACAACATGGATCATATCCTAAATGTACATGGATTTTTTCCCCCTATATCTCGTCTGCAACAGCCCATTTAAAGCATTAGTGTGCTTGCTGTGATGAATTTCTCTTGTGTTTTAAACCAGAGCAACTCACTTCCTGATACATTTGAATTTTGTGCGTCATCCGGGTCATGTGACTGCAACCCAGCAAGAGATAGAAATAATTACAACAAACGTAGAAGAGAGAGACTAAAGACAGCAGCAGAGTGAGGAAATGTGCTCAGTTTGTCCTCCAGATGTCTAAGCCTATAACTATAGGATTTATCAAACAGGAAAGTCTTCAGTCTAATCTTAAAGGGATCCCTGATTAGTTGTAACATTAGACTTTATTTGATAAACATTTATTTTAACTGTAAAATAAAGACTGTAAAATACTGTGGGATGTTTAGTTTTTTATAAGTTTTAAGCTAAAAGTTTTAAAACAAATTACATGTACGGGGCCATTTTATTTACACACAAAGCATTCTGGGTAAATGATGACGTGGATAGGTCCTCGGTGCGAGGCTGCTAGCGAGCTATATCCACCCTGAAGGTTAATCTTGGACAATATTTGATGATTGACTCTTTAAAATGAAACCAGAGAGCGTTGACTAGGGTTGGGCATAATCGTATCG